CGCGTCGGCACGACCAGCGAACCCGCGTCGCTTTCCTGACCTTGCTTCGCAGCCACAGCTGCGATGTTCAAGCCGTGGGCGACTCGCTGGGCCTAAGTATCGACTGTGCGCAGGTGCGTGGACAACGCCCGGGACATCACGTCGGCGCGAACAGGGGGCGCCAGGCACTCCCGCGAGATGGTCGGGAATCTCGTGGGCGCCGACGCTGGCCGCGCGCAGTAGGGTTGGGGCGCTCTGGGCACGGCTGGAAGGAGGAGCCGAGCGACCGTGAGCCCATGGACCGAGAAACGGTTCGACAGTAACACCGAGTGTGGGGCACCACTCAGTTTCGCTGAGATGCGGTTTTGACAAGACACCAGGTATGTGAACTGGCAGCCCACCGTGGTCGTCCCTGTCAGCATCAACTGCTCGAGTATAAATTTCTTCCCCCTCCTCTCACTCCGCGTGCCTGGCGTGCACTTCCCCCCCCCCCCCATTTGCATCCTAACGCTGCAGCGGGTAGCTGCCGCGCTGGGGTACCTTTCGTGCCTGGCGTGCACTTCCCCTCCTCTCCTCCTGCTTCCTTTTGCATGTGTGCCTGGCGTTTCCGCGTGTCCCTCCCTCCCTCCCTGCATCTTAATGCTGCATCGGTTAGCTGCCACACTGGGGTGCCTACCGTGCCTGGCGTGCACTTCCCCTCTTCTCCTTTGTTTCGCCGGGTTTATCCCGCGCGGCTGGGGTTGCCGCCAATGCTGCTGTCTGGTGGTGCTGTGACAGCCTGAATTCCATGCAAGGATCACACTGGGAATGGGCGGTCAGGTGGCCCCTGGCCTGCTCCTGGCTGGTGTCGGCCTCCACTGGTGACCGAAAAGGGTTCCGTGGGGTCTCGCTACGAATTCCATACATGGATCACACTGGGAATGGGCGGTCAGGTGGCCCCTGGCCTGCTCCTGGCTGGTGTCGGCCTCCATAGGTGACCGAAAAGGGTTCAGTGGGGTTTCCCTACTCTGCCGACCTCCACGGTGCTTGGACTTCGGAATGTGTGGCTCGGTGCGCCCGTCGGCTGCTTTCTCCTGCAAGGACTTCGCTTTCGACTTGCGCCACTGCTGTACAAACAAGAGGTACTGCCGTTCGCAGTCCTGTCTATGACGACGTTGCCCCTCCTCACTCTTCCGCTGACACGATGCAGTTGTGTCGCCTACGGCACGGGCGTCGTCCGGGTGTGCCTGTCGGTCCTGCTCGTTTCTGGCGGTGCCTTGTGCCGATTCACACCGAGTGATTGACCTCTGCGTGTTTATGGTCGCGCCGCCGCGCCATTTTGGCTTCGTTTACTTGCTGGTCGCCACCAGGATCTCCACGCCACCGGATTGGGAGTTTCGTCTCTGGCTCTATTTCTGAGTGGTTGTTGGCGCGCTCGATTCGCTTGCCTCTCTTTTCTTGCTGCCTCATCGCGGCCCGACTAGTGTTCGGACGGCTTTCGACCTGCTTCGCGAATCCGCATACCAGAAAGTGATTTCACAGTGGGACGGGACTAGGACGAGGTTAAATCCCGTCCAGAGCGTTCTGGAACGCTCTCATAGCTTTCGGGAACGCTTTGAGAAGACCGTGGCGCCCGAAACATCATCCAGATCCGCCGCATATTCAGGATGTTCGATTGATCTTCGCCAGGACTTCGGCGGAGTAGAGGAACTTCTTGACATATCGCGCATCCTCGGTCGCCTTCTGATCGTGGGCGAAGAGCTGCACGAGCGAGGTCGCGGCCCGCGACGTGCCGCGGGAAGCGCGGCAGGGGGGGGCACACTGGAGGCCGACGGCCCTCTCCGCGAGAGCGGGGGCGCAGGCGTCAGCCCTTCGGCGTGGAGGCGCCCCCCCGGGGCCCGAAGGATGTTGCAGTGTGCGAGCCGAAGCGGAGGGGCCTGTTTTCCACCACCGCCACCATCAGTTGAAGGGGGAGGGAGGTGGAGGACGAGGAGGAGGAGGAAGAAGAGGAGGGGGAGGACCCCCTCCCCCTCCTACTTCTGGTGGTGGTGGTGGTGGTGGAAAAAAAGCCCACCAGAAACCGGTAACTGAGAGTACACGTCGGTCGCTGAAGGTAGATACTGGTGGATTCCCAGATCCCAAATCCACTTCTCATGGCGCCAACATCGCAGAGCGGAGTTCGTTCGGAAAACGATAGGATGGGCCCGGAGTGTCCTGGAGAATTGTCGTTCCGGATTTCTGGCCAGGAAAGAAGACTAAACAAAATTCCGCAGTACATTCCATCCGTTTTTCGCTTGCCGTTTCAGGGTTATGCGTTGGCATAAATTCGCGCAGAAATCGACGGCAGCACGTCTGCAAGGTCGGTGCAGTGATTTTTCTAGCGCCTCCCAGCTTCAAGAATCGGCATGGATTTGCTGTGTGTTTTTCCTACCTAGGCTCTGCCTAGAAGGGTTCTTACTCGGTAAGCTTAGAGGGCCGGGCAGTGGGGCCCGCCCCGGGTGGTTCCCCCAGTATCCGCCCCGCGGTTCCCCCAGTGACGTTCCCTTAGCATAGCGCAGCACAGCATATCATAGCATAGCCCAGCATAGCATAGCATAGCGCATTATAGCATAGCATAGCATAGCGCAGCACAGCATAGCACATGGCAGCATAGCATAGCAAAGCATAGGATAGCACCAAAGCAGAGGCAAAGCAACAGCAGCGACAGCAAAGCAAAGCACAAGCGACGAAAAGCAAAGCAAGTCATTATCATGGGTGGAATTCCCTACCTAGGCTCTGCCTAGAGGGTTAGCTTAGCTTAGCTTAGCATAGCATAGCGCAGCGCTGCATTAGCATAGCACATAATATCATGACATAGCCACTCATATCATGACATAGCATAACATAGCGCATCATATCATAGCATAGCATAACATAGCATATCATATCATAGCATAGCGCAGCTTAGCATGGCATATCATAGCATAGCTTAGTATAGCACAGCACAACACACCATGCCATACCATAGCTTAGCATATCATAACATAACATAGCATCGCATAACATAGCATAGCGCAGCAAAGCATAGCATAGCATAGCATAGCATAGCATAGCATAGCATAGCAACTAATGATGCTTTCCTGGGGGCTCCAACTTCTAGGTAGGGTCGCACTGGGGTAATGTCATTCTATTCTCTAAGGTTGGGCCTGAACCCAACCTGCTTTATCCGCCTTCCCACTTCATGTTTTTACCTACAACTTCCGGCCGACGTGTACCCCTCGGGCCCCGCGGGCCGCGCTGCGCGCGTCGCTGAACATTGGGATTGGGAGGCGAGGGGGGTTGGAAGCAGAAGGTTTGCGTGTGACTCCACGGAGGCCTGTTGAGCTCGCGCGCAAAGCTCCAGATTGGTGCGTTTCTGCCGCAGCTCCCATCGTGCTGTTTCTTGGGGGTCCTCCAGCGGGCTACGGGCCTAGTGAGAAGCCTGACAGGCGCAAATGTCATGCAGCGCCCCGAAATTACGGGCTCCAATCAAAACTCCCATCACGAAACATGCCGGTGGAAAATCTCAAGCTGGTCCATGCAGCCGGGAGCCACATGATGAGAGGCCTCCATGCACGCTTTCAGTGAAAGCGATCCCATCCCATTGCTCATCTCCACTTGCTCGTTTCTCTTCACTTGCACTTCCCCGTTCATTCCTCTCTTCCCCTCGTGATTGAGCACTTGCGAATCGTGGCTGATTGATGCTCGGCATGTCCGTGGCGGTCTGCGCACTTCTTGGCTGAACTATCGAGCCGCTCCAGGCGCGCGGCTTAGTGAGGGCGCGCTGCAGTCAAGGCGCTGACATAAGGACCCCTTCAGGCTCAGGAGCGGCTCGGGATTTTGGGCCGTTCCTTGGATCTAGCTCGCGACACCTACTCGAAGCCGAGGCTCGCCGTGGCCACGACGCCCCTTCGTTCCTTATTCGGTGTTCCTCACTCGGCGGCGAGCGAGGGCGGAAAGTGAGAAGGAGACATCCTTCTCAGAAGGTTCGGAAGTCCCCCGGGCCTTTGAGAAGTTTTCTAAGCCTTTCCCGAAGACTTCTCAGACGGCGCGAGGGCTTCTGAGAAGTCCCGCCGCATTCTGAGAAGGCCTTCTCCTTCTCATTTATCCCCCTCGCTCTCCGCCGACTGGTAGCAGGATGGCTATACCTATCACAGCCGTCGCCGCCGCTGCGTCGTGGACGGACGCGGAGGCCTGCCGTGAGGGGGGAGGGGAGGAGGTCACGATGCAGCAATGGGGTCTCGATGGGCGCTGGATGCCGAGGCCTCTCTAGGGGGCCACATGCGAACCCTACCCCTACCCCCCGCGATTTCTGAGGGGGAGGGTGGGGTTCACTTCGTGCGGTGGGGCTCACTTCGCTCGGGAGCTCCCGCACGAAGTGAACCCCAGCCTCGCCCTCAGGAATCGCGGGGGGTAGGGGTACGGTTCGCACGCAGAGCAGGTCACGAGGCAGCCAAGCGGGGTCTCGAGGGGCCTCCGGACGCCGAGGCCTCTCGCCGTCTCCGGGCCTCCCGCGGCCTTTTTCGGGCCCGCGGGACGCGTCAGGAGGGCGACGCGGGGGGGGCGAGGCGGCAGTCCTGCGGGGACGGCCCCCGGGCGGGGTCCAGCACCCCGTGTGTGTTTCGGGACCCTTCTTCTCTACATGCAGATGGAGGGAGGGAGGGGGAGCAGGGGAGAGAGGGGGGAGGGAGAGGGAGGGAGAGGGAGAGGAGAGGGATGATGAGGGAGGGGGGAGGGAGAGGAGAGGGAGCAGGGAGAGGAGAGGGGGGAGGGAGGAGGAGAGGGAGCAGTAGGGGGCCACATGCGAACCCTACCTACCCCCCCCCCACAATTTCTGGGGGGAGGGTGGGGTTCACACTTAATTCAAGAGCTCCCGAGCGAAGTGAACCCCACCCTCCCCCTCAGAAATCGTGAGGGGTAGGGGCAGGGTTCGCATGTGGCCCCCTAGATGGAGGGAGGAGGGAGGGAGAGGAGAGGGAGCAGGGACGTGGCGAGGGCCTGGCGCACCCATCCCGCCGACGCAGGTACCCGTCGCTCACCCCCAGGTCCAGCCCGAAGGATGGCCAAGCAGGGGGTGCCCTTCCTCCTTCTTGCCTGCACTCCCTCTCCTTCTTCTCGCAACCGCTCGCCCGACCCCGGACCATGCACCTTGGAAGGGGGGCGCCAGGATCACCGGATCATTGGACGGGTTCGTGAGCTGGGGTGCCACCCCAGAGCGGACAGGAATGTCCTTCGTCATTGCCGCGGTCCATAGCATGGCCCACCGCGCCTGAAGAGCCCAGGCCTGTTGCCGTGCAGAGTGCTTGCCCGCTGCCGCCTCCGACGGCACAGATGACTTGCTCGCAGTCCACCGTGATCGAGTGGAAGGCGCCTGGGGCCACGGCGGAGGGACCAACCGCCAGGGCTGCAGGATCTGTGCTGACCAGGTGGCGGCGGCCTGCGACCTCGTCGTGATCTGAGTGCACATCGTCGTGCTCGACGAGGACGGATGGCCCGTCTGCGCGCAGTACGGGGGCGAGCCAGGGCGGGCGCACGTGCCGGCGGGTCATTCCTTCGACCGAGTCTTCTTCCACGCGGCAGGAGGGAGGTCGAGTTCACGCCCCGCGACAGTTCAGCGAGGCAATCAGACCCACTGTGAGTTTGGACAGTTGTGGGGGCTTCGTTTGGACTGGCCGTTTTTACGCCTTCTTGGGGCCCTTTTTTGGGGCGCCTGGAGGCCTTTTTGGGCAGTCTTGGGACCGCCTTGGATGCCTTTTGGCCGTCGCGGGGCGAGGTTGGCTGTCTTGGAGAGTTGTTTGCTGGTTTCGGCGGTGCTAGTGCGTTTGTTTAATGTTGCGTTCGATGTTTTGTCGAGCGGTTCATGTTTTTTTGCACTTCTTTGCTGTTTTGTGTTTTGTTTGTATGTTGTGCGTATAGATTCCCCTTCCTATATTTTTATAAGCCCGGGCGGGGGGAAAACCCGTCACCCCCCCACCCCAAAACCGGACTCCCGGGATCTGGGGCTTTGGCCTCGAAGCGGCCCCCCGGGCCTCGCAGGGCGTTTCGCCAAGCCTTCCCAGCACCCGAAGACGGCCCCAGACGGGTTCCAGGCGTTCCGGCGCGCTCCCGAAACGACCCCAGAGAGCCCCAATACGGTCCACGACGACACCCACGAAGCCGTCATAACCCCCAAAGATCGTTCCGAAACGTCCCGAGAGGCCTCCAAGAGCACTCCCAAGAAGGACCCAAGAGGCAAACATCTGTGATTTTCCACTGGTTTTTGGTGAATTTTGGGGTTCTCCTCTTTTCTGCTTCCCGACGCTCCAAGACAGCGGTCTTCTGGGCGTCCGAAGCCGCCTGGGAGGCTGCAAAATCGCCCCACAACTATCCGAAAGGGCTTCCAGGCAGTCCAAGACAGCCCCAAAACGGCACAACAGGGGTCCAAGATGGCCCTAAGAGTGCCCCATGGCGGCCCAAGATGGCCCGAAGACACGATCTGAAGCATTCCAAATCGTGACCCAGTCATTCAGGCAGACCGCGGTTGGAGGCAGGGTGGCCCGAGGAAGCCCCCAGAGGACCCCAGAACACGCCCAGGAGGCCTCCAAAAGACCTTGAGAAAGCACGAGCAATTTTGTGAGGCCCCCAGAGGCTCTCCAAGGAGGAGCCTCCGCAAAAAAGAACTGAGGAGGATGGGGAGAATGCGCAGGGTATGGCGAGAATGAAGAAATAGAAGCATTGAGGAAGGATAACGAATAACATTATGATAACGACGATGCCAGAAAAGGCAACAAGGAGTTATCGCTAAATTGCCGGCTTGACCTTCCTGCCATCCCGCCTGCATGCCGACTTTTATGGGCCAAGGTGCATGGCGCGAAGCGCCACTGCAGTCTTGTATATATATATATATATATATATATATATACACATATTTTTTATATATATATATAGATATATACATGGCGGCTTGGGCTTCCCTTGGGGGCTTGAATTGCTTGTTTAGACCTCCCCTCGGGGGGCCTGTTTTGATTCCCTTCGGGGGGGCCTGTTTCCGTTTGTATTTGCAGGTTGATTTGGCGAGACGGTTTACCGACGACGCGCGCTAGTGGTGGGGTGGGCTGGCCATAGAGACATGAAAGAAACCTTCCCGGACAACACAGGAGCTTTCTCACACGCCTGCTCCGTGCAGATACGGCGGCGGATTGCACCAGCTGGGAGACAACTGCTGGCGGGGTGGACGCTGCAGGGCCATGGCAAGGACACGGGCAGCGCTGTACAGCCTGCTCATGACGCGCTGACGCAGGACATGCGAGCCGTCTTTGCTGCAGAGGCAGTCTGCGCGGAGGTTTGCGCCAGCCATTGTGAGCCTGTACGCGTGGACTTCGGGCCGAGGCTCTCTGCGACCCGTGTGGGAGAGCCCGTCCCAGCGCCAGCGGTCTCCGAAACGCAGTGGGCCTTGGCGTGGCCACACGGTCGCCGCCGCAAAAACTGCCCGTTCAAGGCTGGCGCCGCGCAAAGGAGGCGCCGAACGGCGACGCGCACGGTCGCGCGCGCCGAAGGCACTCTAGAAGTGCCTTCTGGGCGGCGCAGGGGCGACACAAAAATGGAGGTGTTTGCGTGCCAGTGGATCTGGCGCCCTGGCGCGGAGGTTGTTCGCGGAGTTGGGCGCCCTGGCGCGGACGGCCGAACGACCCCTGCAGCGGGACCGCTGGGCCACGACCCCGGTCAGCACGGACCGACTGCAATCTGCAGGCGCTGAGCGCGCTTCGCCACGAGCGGCGGCTGCGCGGTTGGGCTCGCAGACGAGTCCCCTGGCCCCGCGCAGAAGGAGAGCTCGCTGATGGCAGCCGGAGGCTGCCGTCCGCGGGGGCCTCCAGGGCAACCGCCCCGGGTGCGGCAAGCGATTGGTGTGCAGCGCCGTATGGTCGACCCGCACGGTAAGGACGGACAGCCTTCCCAAGGGAACCCTTGCATCCTTCCCTCCTCGGGGCATGCCTGGGCCACTTTTATTTGTCCGCGCCCCGCTCGAGAAGCTTCGGCATGGCCGTCCAATCTGGGCGCCCGAAATGGGTGCGGAAAGAATGGGTACAATGCCCAACAGCCGTTCCTGTTCATTTTGAACAGGACTCGCTGTCCACGCCGCCGCGGCCTGTGTCCATTCGAGACAGGAGGCCGCCTGCCCAACAGCGGCCGCTGTTGGTTTGGGACAACATTTGTTGTTGGGCATTGTGCCCATTCTCCCCGTACCCATTTCGGGCGTCCAAATCCACGGCCCTTTGCGTCCTTCTCGCGCATCCTTCTGATACGGGCCGACTGCCTCCTGCTTCGCTGCGTCCCGACGCTGCCGCTGCCGCTGCCGGGGGCCCAGGTGGCGTGCCGCTCCTCGCGCGCGGGTGCTCGGCGGGCGCCCGCTCTCCCCAGGCGGTCTTCTGCGCGAGGGTGGGCCGGCAGCGCTCCCGCCCGCGCCCGCTCGCGAGCTGGTGCGGTTCTCGGGGGCGCGCGGCTCTCTCCCTCCGCCCCTCCCCGTGGCAGCCCCGCTGTCTCCTTCTTCCCCTCCTCCCTCCCCTTTCGGTTCCCTCTCTTCCTGTTCCCTCCTCCTGCTCCCTCCTTTCTCCTCTTCCTCCTCCTCCTCCTCCCTCCTCCTCCTCCTCCTCCATCCTCCTTCTCCTCACTCCTCGTGCTCGTCTCCTTCCCCTCTCCCCGCCCCTCCCCTCCTCCTCGCCGCTCAGGACGTGCAGGCCCTCCTGCACACCCTCCACAAGGCCGACTGCGCGCAGCCCTGCGAAGAGGCCGCGGGGCGGGAGCCGGGCCTTCGGCCAGCGGTGGCCCCGCCTCCTTCCGAGGACGTCAACGGCACCGCTGGCGGCGCTGGCGCCGTCGTCTTTGTCTTCGTCTTCGTCTTCGTCTTGTCGTCGTCGTCGTCGTCGTCGTCGGGGGCGGAGGCGGCGGCGGCGTCGTCGTTGCGTTCCTCCTCCCACCTCCCTCCCTCCTTCTCTTCTCCTTCGCTCCTCCTCATCGCCCCTCCTCCCCCTCATCCTCCCTCTCATCCTTGTCCGTGCGTCCCATTGCGCAAGCATCGCTTCGACGAGGGCGCCGCTGCGACTGCTGCAGCGTGGACACCCGAGGGTCTTGCACCCCTGCCCTGCGTCCCTGTGTTCTCGCGGCCGACGGTGCACGTCTGTGCCGGCGGTTGACTGCTGCTCCGTCTCTTTCCCCAGTTCGGCTTCGCCTCGGGGCCTTTCATTCGTTCGTGCAGATAGGGGGCCACGTGCGAACCCTACCCCTACCCCCCACAATTTCTGAGGGGGAGGGTGGGGTTCACTTAATTCAAGAGCTCCCGAGCGAAGTGAACCCCACCCTCCCCCTCAGAAATCGTGGGGGGTAGGGGCAGGGTTCGCACGTGGCCCCCTATTTCCCCAGTTCGGCTTCGCCTCGGGGCTTTTCATTCGTTCGTGCAGAGCTGGCGGGTGCCCGGCGCTGTCGTCGCCGGATTCCCGGGGGGCTCTTCGGGTTCAGCTTCTCGACGGGGGGGTCCCAGGGATCCTCGGCTTTGGCTCCCTGCAAGGGCGCTCCCCAGTGTTCCTCGGTCTTGTATCACAAGGCCTTGCCTGGGTTCTCTGGGTCCTTGGTTCTTGGTCTTGGCTCCCTGTTTCCTTGGCCTTGGTTCTTCGGTTCCTTGGTTGCTTGGTCTGGTTCCTTGGTTTCTTGGTTCCGTGGGTTTGCAGTGCTGGTTCCTCAGTTTTGGCTCTTTGATTCCTTGCTGCCTCGCTACGGACTGCCACGCGATGCAACGCAATGGTAAGCAATGCCAAGCACCGCCACGCACTGCTGGTCGATGCCACGCAGTGCTAAGCAATGCCAAGCACCACCACGCAATGCCAAGCAATGCCACGCAATCTGACTCGCAATATGCCAAGCAATGCCACACAATGCGCCCATGCAGCAGGAAAGGTTCCCTTTATTGGAGTCACGCTGGGTTCATGTTCTATTCTCACCCCTAGAGAACAACTATTGTTGATCCCCCCCAGTGCCCAGTGCTTTTTTCAAGTGAAGTACCACTCCTGGGGCTCGCACATGGTTTCTTCCAAAGGAAGGTTTGGCCCTCAAACTGCGTTCACCGATTACCCCCGAGCTACAACAATAACGGCTCTCTGATTGCGAAGGCCTTACGGTCGGTGCCGCCGACCCAGAAGGGAGACGACGACGACGACGACGACGACGACGACGACCGCGGCGGTGGCGGTGGCAAAGACGACGACGCTGACGTTGGCCAGGGATGGTTCTTGAGGTCTCTTGGGAAGTCTTTCGGGGGCCTCTCGGGAGAAATTTTTGGGCCTCTTGGGAGCCTCTTGGGGGCCTCTTGGGAGCCTTGGGGGGCCTCTTCGGGCTTCCTGGGGACTGGGAAACCTCCAGGGGCCTCCTGGGAGCTTCTTGGGGCCGAGGGCTCGAAATGTCCGTTCGGGTCCCCTGTCTGGGCACGCTCTTGGAGCCGTCTTGGGGGCATCTGGGGCCGTCTTGGAGGCGTTTTGGGCTGTCTTGGGGTCCTCGTGAGCTGTTTGGGGGTCTTCTTGGAGGCCTCTTGGGCCGTCTTGGGGAGATCTTGGGGGCCTCTGGCGTCGTTTTGGAGCGGCGGGAAGTGGAAAAGGCGAGAACACCCAAATCTAAACAATCATCCTGGCGAAGGACCGAACCATATGCAGTTGTGGGTACCGCACTTGTGAATATCTTCTTCGGTAGAGCTCCCAATGGGGCCACGAAGCGCTGCACTGGGTGGGGGGAACGCATGCGGGCGGTAGCACTGGGGCCGTCGGTGGAGCTCCCTATGGGGCCACGAAACGCTGTACTGGGTGGGGGGGACGCATGCGGGCGGTAGCACTGGGGTCTTCGGTGGAGCTCCCTATGGGGCCACGAAGTGGTGTATTGGGCGGGGGACCCATGCGGATGGTAGTCCGGGAACCTTCGGTGGAGCTCCCTCTGGTGCCACGAAACGCTGTACTGGGTGGGGGGGACGCATGCGGGCGGTAGCATCGGAACCTTCGGTGGAGCTCCCTATGGGGCCACGAAACGTGCGAGGGGTGTGCCAAATTGGGTTTTCGGGATGCATGTGGGCGGTGGCACTGGGGTCTTCGGTGGAGCTCCCTATGGGGCCACGAGACGTGTGAGGGGTGTGTCACATTGGGTTTTCGGGATGCATGTGGGCGATGGCACTGGGGCCTTCGGTGGAGCTCCCTATGGGGCCACGAAGCGTGTGAGGGGTGTGCCAAGGTGGGTTTTCGGGACGCATGCGGGCGGTGGCACTGGAGCCTTCGGTGGAGCTCCCTATGGGGCCACGACGCGTGTGAGGGGTGTGCCAAGGTGGGTTTTCGGGACGCATGCGGGCGGTGGCACTGGGGCCTTCCGTGGAGCTCCCTATGGGGCCACGAAGCGTGTAAGGGGTGTGCCAAGGTGGGTTTTCGGGACGCATGCGGGCGGTGGCACTGGGGCCTTCGGTGGAGCTCTCAGTGGGGCCACGAAACGTGCGAGGGGTGTGCCAAATTGGGTTTTCGGGATGCATGTGGGCGGTGGCACTGGGGTCTTCGGTGGAGCTCCCTATGGGGCCACGAAACGTGTGAGGGGTGTGTCAAATTGGGTTTTCGGGATGCATGTGGGCGGTGGCACTGGGGCCTTCGGTGGAGCTCCCTATGGGGCCACGAAACGTGTGAGGGGTGTGCCACGTTCGGTTTTCGGGACGCATGCGTTTGGTGGCACTGGGGCCTTCGGTGGAGCTCCCTATGGGGCCACGAAGCGTGTGAGGGGTGTGCCAAGGTGGGTTTTCGGGACGCATGCGGGCGGTGGCACTGGAGCCTTCCGTGGAGCTCCCTATGGGGCCACGAAGCGTGTAAGAGGTGTGCCAAGGTGGGTTTTCGGGACGCATGCGGGCCGTGGCACTGGGGCCTTCGGTGGAGCTTCCTATTGGGCCACGAAACGTGTGAGGGGTGTGCCAAGGTGGGTTTTCGGGACGCATGCGGGCGGTCCCACTGAGGGCTTCGGTGGAGCTCCTCATGGGGCCACGAAATGATGTATTGGATGGGTGAAACGCAGAACTGAGGTTGGAGGGGGAGGAGGAGGGAGGAAGGAGGGAGGAACGCGGGGACCGTCTCTTCAAAACGAGGACCCGACACCACAGGATGGTTGGGAAACAAAAACAATTAGCGAAGAATAAATAGTCAATGATTTTTGGCCTCTTGGGGCCCTCTCGGGAGTGCTCTTGGAGGTGTCTTGGGGCGTTATTGTTGATCCCCCCAGTGCCCAGTGTTTTTCAAGCCACTCCTGGGGCTCGCACTTTTTTCCAAGGAACGTCTTGGCCCTCAAACTGCGTTTGTCGTCTACCCCCGAGCTACAACAATAACGGCTCCCTGACTTTACTTAGAATACCGCTCTCGCGCTGGATCTCGTCAGTATGTATATAAGAATCGCGCTCTCGCGTCGGACTTCCTTTTTTACATTTGTTGAGACGCCGCGCCCTCGACACTCATTGATCACGCTCTCCCTCTCTCTCGGGACTTCCGCACAATTTGATATGTAATCGCGCTGTCCCTCGAGGCCCTCTCGGTCCATGCAGGACTGATGCTTCAGCGACCCGCCCGCTCGACCCGGCCATCTGGGCCCGCAGGCTAGACCCGCCCGTTAGGGTCCGCCCGCCCGGCCCGCTCGCCTGGTTCTGCCGTTTGTCTTATTGTTCCTAACACCCCTCGTGATAGCGTCTCTTGTCCTGCATCCTTCTCCCTCCCCCTTGTCCCTTCCTCCCTCCCCTCCCTTCCCCTAATGTCCCGTCTGCTTGATTCTTCCAGGGTCCTGGTCGGGGCGTCTGCCCTCCAAGGTGGGCGCCACCATGCTCCACCGCGCTTGCGCCGATCAGGTGCTCCTTGCAGCGGGACGCCCCCTGGCTCCCCCTCGCGCTCGCGTTCTCCGCGCCAGCGCCCTCCCCCCCCCCTTCCCCCGGTGGCGGCCCCGCCCTCCGCGCGGCCCCCCCAAAGGCTGCGCGTCGGGTGGCCCCCCGCCCTGCCCCCTCCGGGCGGCCACGGCCCTGCCGCTCCTGCGGCTGGGCCTCCGCCTCTGCCTGCGCTGGCCCTGTGACTGGGCTGCTGCCCGCTCCGCCCGGCTGTGATGCGTGCGCCGGCTGGGCAGGGCGCCTCTCCGCCCTCGCCTTGGCGCCCTCCCCCGACGCGGCCACAGCGCCGCCATCGGAAGCTGGAAGAGACGATAGCCTGAAGAACATCGAACACTCATTGAACGTCGACGTTACTTTGCCTCTTTGGGCCCTCTTGGGGTCCTCGCGGTGCTTCACTGAGGCCCTTGGGACGTCTTGGGGCTATCTTGGGCGTCTTGGAGCGCTCGTGGGCTGTCTTGAAGGTCTCTTGGGCACTTCCTGGGCCCCTCTGGGCCCGTCTTGGGTCCCCTTGGCCTCCGGAGAAGTCGCGCGAGGAAGTCCAGGGGCGAGCGGGCGCGCCCAGGAAATCTGATAACCTGGGACCCCAGCCCCTAGATGACTAGAACCCCCCAGTCCTGCGTACAGAGAGCAGAGAACACTCCTCCTCCTCCTCCTCCTCCTCCTCGTCCTCCTCACCGCTCCTCCATGAGAGCCTAGGGGCAACCCGCGCATCCACGGCCGCCTACGGCCGTTGGGCAGCAGAGAGCGGCGGGGGGCACAGGGTCGGGTGCGCGGCCTCCGTGGCGGGAGCTTGCCGTGCTCCCCGCCCGCGCATCGCCGGGAACGCGCTCCTGCGCTCCGGGTCTCGAGGGGTGTCGCTTCGATAGAGCGGGCTCCTGGGGTGGCGGGCACGCCTTCCGCGGTGTCGCTTCGATAAAGTGGGCTCCTGGGGTAAGAGGGTGATCAGTGCCCTGGCGGCTGGGAAGCTCCTCTCAGGTTTTCTGCCCTGGCCCGCACCAGACAACCGATCAGATCAGTTTTTGGTGCCGGTTGAGGGATTCATCGCTGGACTTCTGGACGTGGACGAGGGACGATGGGGGAGGGGCAGGAGGGAGGACGCACATGCCATCGTCACGCAGGACACCACACCCTCTCCCCCACTCCCGCCTCTCCTCTTTGTCCCCGCACCGCCTCCTCCCTCCGAGCACCCCACCTTTGAATTAGCGTCGCTGCGGCCAACCAATATGCCCCATCCGCCCGGCGTTCTGTTTGGGTGGAGGTGGCGATGGCGCCGATTGTCGGGTGGCTTGCCATTTGCCCAAAGCTCGACTGTTGAGGATGAGGAAGAGGAGGTCTCATTACATTCACAATTGCTCCCTCCTCGATGTGGAATCCTTTCCCTGTTCTATTCCCCTGCCTCGGACAGCTGCGCCATCCGCGCCGCCCTGACGAGGGGGGGAGGGAAGGTTCGCGCGGAGCTCGCGTCCAGAGACGACGAAGTGGTTGAGATCGACGACCATGGTCGGCAGGTGGCCTCGGGTCTGAAGGGGGAGAGACAGGAGGAAGCCCGCAACACCAGGAGCAGAAAAGGGCCCCAAGGGAGAGGGTGCCTGAGCTCTCTCTTGCTTGCTTCGAGTAGGGCGTCGACCGCACCATCTCTTCACCCGAAAGATGTTTGTCTCGTCAAATCGCATTTGCTTTACACGCAGCGCACATGTCAATCCTATTGGGGGTAAATCAATTCCGTAGTCAATCTCCTACCCTATTGTTTGGCTTCCTGAGACCCCTCCTTTCCGCCCCCGCTTCCTCTCTTCGGCGGCGAAATCCGATCCCTGCCCTCGTCGATCCACGGTGCAGGCGGCTCGATGTGCGGCGGGGGTGAAGGTTCGGAATCCGTCGAACACGTGGCGGAATCCGAAGCCCACCTCCGCCTCCCATCGATTGGGGAGAATCGATGAACGGTGGGGGTAGGGCTCGGATGTCGCCGCCTATCCCGTCTTCAGCCGTCATGCCGGCCACCGAACCCGTGACAGCACAAGGTCTATCTTCCGATTCTGATGTTCGCCAGCGCCGCAGCCAAAGGCATGTGTATTTGTCAGGTTTGCCCACAGAGCGTGGCAGCCATGAACCCCTAACGGTTCCTGTGATCAGATTGTCTCGTTGGATGCATGGCGCTGGGTGAGTGGACAGGCTAGCTCCGGAATTTCCAGTTCTTGTGTGTTGGAGCCTTGTGTTGGCGTATTTGCAGCGTTCTTCATCTTGCCGGAATATTTTCATACGCAATCTTGTTTGTGCGGACGTGCGCTCTCATTGACAGTTTGATGAGTGTAAGCTACAATAATTGTTTTAGAGGGGGAGTGGTGCGGGGGAGTACAGAGCGGGATGCAGATAGAGAGAGAGGGGAGAGAGAACATGCGAGAGAGCGATAGAGAGAGAGAGATAGACAACATTATCTTGGCGAAATACCCAACCATATGCAGTTGTGGGTACCGCAATTGTGAGTATCTTCTTCGGTGAAGCTCCCATGGGGCCACGAAGCGCTGCACTGGGTGGGGGGGAACGCATGCGGGCGTTAGCACTGAGGGCGTCGGTGAAGCTCCCTATGGTACCACGAAGCGTTGTACTGGGTGGGTGGAAACGTCAAACTGGGTAGGTGGGACGCATGCGGGCGGTCCCACTGGGGGCTTCGGTGGAGCTCCCTAGGGGGCCACGAAACATTGTAGTGTGTGGGTGAAAAATGCCAAATTGGTGTGTGTGTGTGTGGTGTGTGTGTGTGTGTGACGCATGCGGGCGGTCCCTGTGGGGGCTTCGGTGGAGCTCCCTGTGGGGCCACGAAACGCTGTACTGTGGGTGGGACGGATGTAGACGGTCTTACTGGGGGCTTTGGTAGCTTCCTATGGGGCCACGAAGCGTTGTACTTGGTGGGTGAAAATGCCAAATTGGGTTTTCGGGACGCATGCGGACGGTCCCAGTGTGGCCGTCGGTGGGGCTCCCTATGGGGCCACGAAGCGCTGTATTGAGTGTGCGGGACGCATGCGGACGGTAGCACTGGGACCTTCGGTGGGGCTCCCTATGGGGCCACGAAACGCTGTACTGGGTGGTTGGGGTGGGACGCATGCGGACGGTAGCACTGGGACTTTCGGTGGGGCTTCCTATGGGGCCACGAAGCGCTGTACTGGGTTGGTGAAACGCAAGGAGGAGGAGGAGGAGGGGGCCGCGAAACGCTGTACCGGGTGGTGGGGGGGGCGCATGCGGACGGTAGCACTGGGATCTTCGGTGGGGCTCCCTTTGGGGCCACGAAGCGGTGTATTGGGTGGGTGAAACACAGGGGGGGGGAGGAGGGGGCCACGAAACGCTGTACTGGGTGGGGTGGGGTGGGGGGGGGGGCGCATGCGGACGGTGGCACTGGGACCTTCGGTGGGGCTCCCTATGGGGCCACGAAACAATGTACTGGGTGGGTGAAACGCAGGGAGGAGGGAGGAGGGGGAGGAGGGGGAGGGAGGAGGGGAGGAGGAGAGGAGAGGAGAGGAGGAACGCGGGGCACCGTCTTTTCAAAACGATGACCCAACACCACAGGATGGTTGGGAAACAAAGAACGAAAGAGAGAAAGAAGGGGCGAGAGAGAGAGAGAGATAGAGAGAGCGAGAGAGAGAGAGAGAGAAAGAGGGATAGAGAGAGAGAGGAGAACAGAGAGATGGGGAGAGATAGAGAGAGAGAGAGAGCGCGAGAAAGAGAAAGAGAGACAGAGAGAGAGAGAGAGAACGACACACACATATATACATCTATCTATACACACATATATATATATATATATATATATATCGAGAGAGAGGCATAGGTTGAAGGCACCGTGTTAGGAGCATGGGTGATGGATGGATGTGTACGTGTGCGCGTGCGCGTGCGCGTGCGCGCGCGTGTGTGTGCGTGTGCGCGTGCGCGTGCGCGTGCGCGTGTGGGTGTGTGTGTGTGTGTGTGTGTGTGTGTGCGTGTGTGCGTGTGTGTGGGTGTGTGTGGGTGTGTGCGCGCTTGTGTGCGTATGTTTGTGCTTGGGTGTTCGTGCACGCACGGGTGCCCGCTGCGGGCCCGCCGAGGTGAAGAGCCAGGCCTTCGAGCTCGACGAGCCCAGCTGCGGCACCACCAAGCCGGGCGAGTGGTGCTACCAGTCCATCCAGTGGCTGAAGAACGCGGGCCTGAGGAAGCATCCAGACTGGTGCCTCATTCATGTTGTTTCTTATTGTGTTGCCGATCGGCACTGTCTCTTGATTCCCTACCTAGGCTCTGCCTAGAAGGGTTCTTACTCTCTTTGCTTAAAGGGCCGGGCAATGCTAACCGCCCCGGGCGGTTCCCCCAGTCCCCGCCCCGCGGTTCCCCCAGTCCCCTGGGAGTTTTAGCCTTAGCTTTAGCTTTAGCTTAGCTTTAGCTGTAGCTTTAGCTTTAGCTTAGCTTTAGCTTAGCTTTAGCTTAGTGTTAGCTTAGCTTTAGCTTAGCTTTAGCTTAGCTTTAGCTTAGCTTCAGCTTAGTGTTGGCTTAGCTTTAGCTTAGCTTTATATTAGCTTCAGCTTAGATACAGCTTAGCTTTAGCTTAGTGTTAACTTAGCCGTAGCTTAGCTTTAGCTTAGCTTGAGCTTATATGTAGCTTAGCTTTAGCTTAGCTTTAGCTTAGCTGCATCTTAGTGCTAGCTTAGCTGTAGCTTAGTGTTAGCTTAGCTTTAGCTTAGCTTTAGCTTAGCTTTAGCTTAGCTTCAGCTTAGTGCTAGTTTAGCTTTTGCTTAGTGTTAGCTTAGCTTTAGCTTAGCTTTAGCTTAGCTTTAGCTCAGCTTTAGCTTAGCTTTAGCTTAGCTTTAGCTTAGCTTCAGCTTAGCTTTAGCTTAGCTTTAGCTTAGCTTTAGCTTAGCTTTAGCTTAGCTTTAGCTTAGCTTTAGCTTAGATGCAGCTTAGCTTTAGCTTAGCTTCAGCTTAGCTTTAGCTTAGCTTTAGCTTAGCATTAGCTTAGTGTTAGCTTAGCTTTAGCTTAGTTTTCGCTTAGCTTCAGCTTAGTTTTAGCTTAGCTTTAGCTTAGCTTTAGCTTAGCTTTAGCTTAGCTTTAGCTTATCTTTAGCTTTAGCTGCAACTTAGCTTTATCTAGCTTTAGCTTAGCTTCAGCTTAGCGTTAGCTTAACTTTAGCTTAGCTTTAGTTTAGCTTTAGCTTAGCTTCAGCTTAGCTTTAACTTAGCTTTAGCTTAGCTTCAGCTTAGCTTTAGCTTAGCTTTAGCTTAGCGCTAGCTTAGCTTTAGCTTAGCTTTAGCTTAGCTTTAGCTTAGCTTTACTGTTACTACTAATGCTGCTTTCCTAGGGGCTCCAACTCCTAGGTAGGGTCGCACTGGGATAATTTTTCATTTTGTTCTGCATGTCGCTTCTTCTTTCTGTTCGTGACCGTTTTCTTATTCAATTTATTTGCCGATCGGCGCGGGCCCTCGCCCCCTCCCCATTGGAGTAGATATTTGCTGATATTGGCGCCTGTTTCGAGCAGGGGGAGTTGCCTCCCTCACATGACGCACGGTTGCAAACAGGCGCATCAAGAAGAGGTCCAGAGCCAGACACCCCTTCCCCCCCTTCCGCCCAATATCGAAACGCCGAACAAGAAAACGTTCACGTCGCGTTTCCCATGTTCTTGTGCCACTAAGATATTGTGTGGTCGGACTTGGGTGGGGTCAGGCGAAGCTTCGACGACATTTGGCAGCATCCGATGATCGCTGTTTGGACGACCATCAGGTAACTTTATACAGAGGTCCAGGTTCCATTGTTGGTGAGATCTCTTTGGCGTTGTGTCGGCAGCAGCGTGGGGCTTTCTCCAGGGATAGCAATTGGAAGCTGGAGGAAGAGGGACGATGATGGAGGAGAGTGGAGGATGAGAAGTAGGCGAGACGGATATTCAGGAGGAGCAGGAGAGCAGGAGGCGGAGGAGCAGGAGGAGGAGGCGGCGGCGGAGGAGGAGCCAGAGAGACGGGAGCAGGCCCGGTGTGCTCCCGGGAAGGGCCCAAGGCTTAAGGCTTGCGCCTTGGGGGCGAGCTACTCTGCAGGGGCGCGCGGACGAGCAGCGCCCTTCGCCCCTACCAGACCTCAAGGGCTGCGCGAGAAAAATGGCTGGTGGGCGTCGGCTCTCCCGATTTCGGCGCCTGGGCGTCGCCTTCTCGCGGCCCGAGCTTCCTCACTGCCCCCGCCGCTCGGCTCCAGAGCTCCGCGGGGCACCCTGGCGCGGGGGGGGGGGCGACCCGCCCAGCGCGTTCCGCGCCGAGCTCCCTGATGCTCCGCAGCAGTCGTTGGGGTACTGCCACTGCAGGTGCAGCCGGCGCTGCGCCGTGGGGGTCACACGCGATGGCCGTCGCCTCTGGACCAAAGAACAAGCGACACCACCCCACCTACTGCCATCCATGTTGCGCCGCGGCCCAGAGGGGTGGTGGTGTCGTTAGTGTTCTGGTCCAGCCTCCGTGCTGACGCTGGATTCGAGCTGGGCCCGTGGCCTCCTCGGACTCCTCCTCCTCCTTCCTCCTCCTCCTCCTTCTCCTCCCCCTCCTCATTCCTCTATCGCCTCTCTTCCCTTCCTCCCCTCCCTCCTCCCCCTCCTCCCTCCTCCTGCTTCTCCCCCTCCTCCCTCCCCCCTCCTCCCTCCGCCTGCTTCTCCCTCTTATCTTCATCCTCGTCGTCCTCCTCCGCCTCTTTCCCGGCCGCCCTATTCCTTCCTCCTCCTCCTCCTCCTCCTCCTCCTCCTCCTCCTCCTTCTCCCCCGCCCTCCTCCTCCTCCTCCTCCTTCTCCTTTTCCTCCCTCCTCCTCGAAATACGCCTGTCCCGGGGGTGGGTCCGAGCCGAGGAGCCGACGCCCGCCGCGACGTATCTCCAGCGACTGCCGTGCTCAAAACCCTGAGGATGCGAAAGATATGCTGTGCCGTGGCGTGCCCGCTCCGCGCCCGAAGCCCAGCATGCGGAAGGTGTGCCGTGCCGTGCCCGCGCCGTGCGGGTCCCGTGCCGTGCCCGCGCCGTGCCCAGAAGCCCAAATGCGACGCGTGTGCGGTGCTGTGCCGTGCCCAGGCCGTGCCCAGCCTTCAGAGTCTCCTCGCGCAGCGTCAGCGCTTGGGGTCTCCGTGCCGGTGTGGGTCCGGAAGCTTGCGGCTCGTGCGGGTGGTAATGGGGGGGTGACCCACATGGGGGGTGAAGAGCAAGGCCTCAAAGAGGCCGTGCAGGGCCCCTTTTGGAGCCAGTTAGTGCCCAAGAGGGGCCCAACAGGGCCTCTTGAGGGCCTTTTTCTTCACCTCTCATTCGGGTCACCTCCCCATTACCACCCGCCCGAGCGGCCCTCTCTGGGCGTGTTTTGATTTCTGGGGACCTCTGGAGCGCTCCCGAGGATTCCGGCGCCAGAGGAGGCCTGCCGTCCGAGGGTATCCGGAGTTCGTGGTCGTGTGCTTTGCGCACTTGTGTGTGTGTGAGAGTGTGTGTGTGTGTGCGTGTGTGTGTGTGTGTGTGTGTGTGTGTGTGTGTGTGTGTGTGTGTGTGTGTGTGTGTGTGTGGGGGAGTGTGTGTGTGTGTGTGTGTGTGTGTGTGCGCGCTTGTGCGTGTGAGTGTGTGTGTGTGTGTGTGTGCGTGTGTGTGTGTGTGTGCGTGTGTGGGTGTGCGTGTGTGTGTGTGTGTGTGTGTGTGTGTGTGTGTGTGTGTGTGTGTGTGTGCGTGCGTGTCTCGGTCCTCATCGCCTGCTTCGGTGGCGAACGAGGGGGGAACGGAGAAGGGGCGGGACTTCTCAGAAGGCTCGGAAGTCCCCCGTCCTTCTGAGAGGGTTTCTAAGCCTTCCCCGAAGACAGGAACACCTCTCAGAAGGCGCGAGGGCTTCTGAGAAGTCTCGCCGCCTTCTGAGAGGGCCTTCTCCTCACTTTCCCCCCTCGCTCGCCGCCGAGTGTGTGCCTCGGCCCTCATCGCTTGCTTGCACGGTCAGGTATCCCAAGCTCTCCACGCAGTCCAGCATCGAGGACTTCCAGACGGTGTTGCACAAGCAGGGCAAGGTGGTACCCGGGAGAAGGGCCCCCCTCTCACCCGCAACCGCCATTATTGCAGAGTGAGAGGAAACGGAGACGGAGGAGGACGAGAGTAATTTCAGGATGCATCAAGTGTATTGCAAAACATTCCTTCTTCCTCTCTTCCAACTCCTTCCAACTCCTTCCATTTCCTTCCTTCCCTCCTTCCTTCCTTAGCTACACCAAGTGTGCGCTCGAGAGTAACCTCTTCCTTACTTCCTTTCCGCATCGTCCTCCTGCTCCCTCCTCGTCCTCCTCGTCGTCGTCCTTCTCCTCCTCCTCCCTATCCTTCTTTTCCTCCATCTCCTCCTCGTCGTACTCTTCCTCGTCATCCTTCCTCCTCCTCCTCCTCTTTCTCCTTCCTCCTCCTCCTCCTTCTCCTTCCTCCTCTTCTTCCCTCTCGCGGCTCCCTTGGGGGCTGCGGAGTGTGCAAGTGTCGCCACTTTCGTGGGCTCCTGGGAGGTCCAGCGGAATGGCGTAGCACGCAGACCCAAACGAGACCTCGCGGCTTTCTGGGGGGGGGGCTGCGAAGTGCGCAACTGCCGCAATTTTCGTGGGCTCCTGGGAGGTCAGCGGAGTGGCGTAGCACGCAGACCCAAACGAGCCCTTGCGGCTTTCTGGGGGGGGGGTGGGGGGCTGCGCAGTGCGCAGCGGTCGCAATCTTCGTGGGCTCCTGGGAGGTTCCGCGGAGTGGACGTGTACGCGGAGTGGACGTCAGCCAAGACCTCGCGGCTACCTGGGGGGGCTGCAAAAAAGTGTGGGCTGCTGGGAGGTCCAGCAAGCGTTACCGTCAGCGGGGGCCCTCCAAAGGCCCCCCCCTCCCCCCCCCCCTTCCCGCCCTCCCCCGCCTGGGAAACGACCGTTTCCACGAAGTACAGGGCCCGGAAGAACTTAGCGAATACTCGTGCCACATCCACCTGTCGATGCCCCCGCAACGATCAAAGCGGGCTGCAGGTTTCGGATGAGTTGTGCGCCGACCGCAGGCTTTCCCTTGCGTGCCAGCTTTGAATGTGGGGAGAAGGAGCGTGTCCACAAATTGTTGATATGGAAGGATCGCGTCGTGTCGACTGGCGGCGACCCCGCCGCAGCCGTTCAACGTTGAACGCCGCCAGCGACCCAGAATTCGTGGACGTTGAACGATTTGACGTCTCGGAAACGGCCCATCGCTCAAGGTGGAACGGTCGATGTCACGAACCAACGTCGGGGTCGACACGGCACGAACCTGCGGTATTGCCTTTGCCTTCCCAGCGGGGCTACGGCTCCCCTTTGCTCCACCTCCTGCGACTGGCGCCGCCGCCAGGTGGGCTGCCTGTTGCCCTGCAAGGAGGGCGAGACCGCCACGGCGATGCGTCCCCCTCGGCCAGGGGCGAGGAGGGAGGGAAGGGGGAGGAGGGAGGGGGAGGGGAGGCGAGGAGCCAGGGAAGGGAGGGAGGGCGAGGGGGGGGGGAAGAGTGGGGAGGAGGAGGGGCGGTGGCAGGAAGGAGGGGGGGGGCGAATGACAGAGCAAGGAGGGCGGGGGAGGAGATAGGAGGATGGGATGGGGTCGAATGGGATGGGATGGGATGACGATGCAGATGCTGATGCCGATGATGCCGATGACGACGACGCTGATGATGCTGATGCCGATGACGATGCTGCTGCTGATGAGGATGCTGCGCTCTATGCTCCTCATGATGATGAGGATCAAATGATGACGACGATGATGATGATCATGCTGCTGCTGATGATGATGATGATGATCACGGTAATGATGATGATGATGATGATGATGATGATGGTGGTGGTGGTGTTGATGATGAGGATGATTATGAAGATGATGGTGAATGTAATGGTGATGGTGATGACGATGATGATGATGCTTTGGTGGTGGTGATGATGATGATGCTAGTGAAGATGATGATGATGATTATGATGATGGTGATGATTATGATGATGATGACGATGACGATGATGATACTGACACTGCTGCTGCTGATGATCATGATGGCCATGGTGATGCTGATGATGATGATTCTGATGATGACGATGATGATGATGATGATGATGATGCTGATGCTGATGCTGATGCTGATGCTGATGCTGATGCTGATTATGATGGTGGTTCTAATGGTGGTGATGCTGATATGACGAGGATGCTGATGAAACTTACGGTGATCTGATCATGATGCTGATGATGATGAAGATTGTGATGCTTCCGATGATGATGACGATGACGATGATGATACTGATACTACTGCTGATGATGATGATGATGATGATGATGATGATGATGATGATGATGATGATGATGCTGATGATGATGATGATGATGATGATGATGATGATGATGGCGATGATGATGATGATGCTGATGATGGTGATGATGATGATGATGATGATGATGATGATGCGGATTTTGATGATGATGATGATGATGATGATGATGATGATGGTGAGGAGGAGGAGGAGGAGGAGCAGGAGGAGGGGGGGGATGCCGACGGTGGCGCTGATTAGGATGCTGAGGAGGATGATGATGCTGATGGTGAGGATGAGGATGGTGATGCTGGTGATGCCGAGGATGGATGACGCTTACGATGATGAAGAGTTTGATGCTGATGATGATGATGGCGATGGTTATGATGATGACGATGACGATGATGGTGCTGATGATACTGCTGCTGCTGCTGATGATGATGATGCTGATTTTGATGATGATGACGATGGTGATGCTGATGATGATGCTGATGCTGACGACGATGATGATGATGATGATGATGATGATGATGATGACGGAACTTATGCTGATGATGGTGGTGATGATGATGATGATGATGATGATGATGATGATGATGATGCTACTGGTGGTGACGATGTCGCTGAGGATGATGATGATGGTGATGATGATGACGATGACCTCGACGACCACGAAAATGATGATGATGGCACTGATGATAATGGTGAGGAGGCTGACAATGATGGCAATGCTGATGATGACGGTATGATGGTGATGATGATGGTGATGTTGGCGATCATGATGATGCTGATGATGATGGCGATGCTGATGACGCTGATGATGATGAATCTAATGATAATGAAGATGACGCTGATGATGATGATGATGCTGATGATGCTCGTGATGCTGATGATGCCGATGATACTTCTGATGATGGTGATGATGATGATGATGACGATGATGATGATGACGGTGATGTTGATGGTGTTGATGATGATGAATGCAGATCATTGCCATTATTACTATGATTGGGATCAGGCTGAGGACGTGAACTATGAGGATGTTTATGCTGATGCTGTTTAAGCTGATTAGAATGATGAGGATGCTGATGCTGATGATGATAATGGTTAGTATCATGATATTATCGTTCTTATTATGCTGTGAACGATTGTGGTGATGACGGCGACGATGATGATGATGACGATGCTGATTTGAACACGATGATGATGCTATTGATGATGCTGATTATGCTGATGATGCTGACGGTGCCGCTGATTAGGATGCTGACGAGGATGCTGATGCTGATGGTGAGGATGAGGCTGTTGACGCTGATGGTGGTTATTATGGTGGTGATGCTGGTGATGATGCCGATGCTGATGATGACGATGACGATGACGATGATGATACTGATGATACTTCTGCTGCTGATGATGGTGGCGATGGTGATGACGATGATGATGCTGGTGCTGCTGCTGATGATGACGATAATAATATTGATGGTGCTACTGATGCTGACGATGAGGAGGATGATGATGGTGATAAAGGTGACGATGCCGAAGACGATGATGATGATGATGATGATGATCATGATGACGATGTCCATGATGATGATGATGCTGAGGATGCTGGTAAGGATGATCAGGATGGTATGATGATGATGCTGATGCTGGCGACTATGATGATGATGATGATGATGCCGATGATTATGGCGATGCTGATCACGCTGATGATGATGCTGATGACTATGCTGCTGATGATGATGCTGAGGCTGATGGTGATAATGGTGACGATGATGCAGTTGATGATGATGATGATGCGGATGAGATTGGTGATGATGGTGGTGGTGATGATGATGCTGTTGACGATGCTGATGATGACGACGATGATGATTACGATGATAATTGTGATGATGCTGACGATGATGATGACGATGATGCTGACGACGATGATGATGCTGATGCTGATTATGATGGTGATGATGAGGATGCTGATCAGGCTGATTATGATGGTGATGATGCCGATGGTGGCGCTGCTGAGGACGCTGCTGATGAGGATGATGCTGATGGTGCTGCTGATGGTGATGCTGATGGTGCTGCTGATGGTGGTGATGCTGCTGATGGTGCTGATGCTGATGAGGATGAGGATGGTGCTGCTGATGGTGGTGATGACGAGGATGCTGAGTACGCCGATGATGATGAGTATGCTGATGCTGCTGCTGCTGGTGATGATGATGGTGATTGTGATGCTGACGATGATGCGGATGAGGAATCTCTGGTTGAGTGATTGAAGTGCATGGTGATGAGTATGATGATGATGATGACGATGATGCTTATGATGCTGCTGATGCTGGCGATGATGATGATGATGCTGACGATGATGATGCTGATGATGATGATGATGCGGTGATGGTGGTTACGATGGCAACGGTGATGATGAGGATGCTGGTTGTGGTGGTGCGGACGATGTTGCTGGTGATGCTGGTGCTGATGATTACCATGCTGATGACGGTGGTGAATCTGATGATGCGGATGAGGCTGAGGAGGATGAGCTTGCATAATCTAATGGTACTGACGAGGCTGGGGATGAGGACGAGGGTGAGGGTGAGGATGATAATGATGATGCGGAGGAGGAGGAGGATATGTATGCGTAAGGGCATCAGGGGGAAGAACAGGAGGGGCAGAAGGGATGACGCTGCTAATGATGCTGATGATGATGACGACGATGGCGATGAGGAGAATGAGGAGGATGAAACACGGATGTGGAGGAGGATCAAGGAGAGGCTTGTCAGGAGGAGGAGGAGGACTGGTGTTGCTCATGATTCTGATGATGATGAAGGTGCGTAGGATGGTGCTTTCGATGATGACGACAATGATGATGCTGATGTTGCTGATGCTGATGGCGATGCGGATGGTGATGATGACGATGATACTTATGATGTCATTGGTTTTGTTGATGGTGATGATGAGGCTGGTGGTGGTTGTGATATAATGGTGGTGGTGGGGATGACGATGATGGTGTTGACGATGCTTGTGACGATGACGTGTGTTTGCGATGTGAATGACGGCGCTGATGTTTTTGATGCGTGGTGACGAGGACAGTGATGATGCTGAGGTTGATGCTGAAGGTGATGATGATGCAGATGATGATGCTGATGCTGACGATGCTGATGTTGATGCTGATTTTCATGCTGATGATGCTGCTGATGATGCTGATGATGCTGATGCTGATCGTGATGCTGCTGCTGATGATGCTGATGATCATGATGATGATCATGATGATGATGCTGTTCATGGCGATGCTGATACTGATCATGATGTTGATGACGACCATGATGCTGGTGGTGGTGGTACTGGTTGTGGTGGCGATGAGGTGGTTGTTGACGATCATTGTGATGGCGATGACGATGGTGCTACTGCTACTGCTGCTGCTGATGATGATGATGATGATGCTGACCATGATGATGATGCTGATGCTAATGTAACTTCTGATAATGATGATGAGGAGGAGCAAGAGAAGGAGGTGGAGGAGTAAGACGATGATGATGATGATGATGATGATGATGATGATGATGATGATGATGATGAGGATAATGGTAATGTGACTGATACTGTGGGAGAGGATGATGCGGATGATAATGATGATGCTGTTGGTGGTGATGGCGATGATGATGATGATGATGCTGACGATTCTGATGATGTGGTTATTAATGATAAAGTGTTTTTGATGATGCTGATGTTGACTACGATGATGCTGATGACGATGGTGATACTGATGATTATGATGATGATGAAGAATCTTGTGCTGATTACGACGATGGTTGTGATGCTGATGCTGATGTTGATGCTGCAGATGATGAGGATGGTGGTGGTGGTGATGATGATGATGCTGATTATGCTGCTGGTTCTGATGATGATGATGCTGTGGATGATGATGGGGATGATGATGCTGCTGATGATGATGACGATTCCCATGGTGATGATGCTGCTGATGATGCTGATGATGCTGATGGTGATGATGATGGTGGTGGTGATGATGATGATGATGGTGCTGCTGCTGATGATGGTGATGATTAAGATGATGATGCTGCTGATGATGATTATGATGATGATGGTGGTGGTGGTGGTGATGAT